CAGGACTATTGAGAATGTTAATAAGAAAAGCTCAGGAGAATGAGTGCTTTTCTTCCTCTTCATTGTACAATATCCAGGATATTTTCCCCCCACAAAATAAAAGATAAGAGGTCTGTATTCGAGTCTAACCGATAACTGCTAGAGGTGGCATTCCTTCTCCTGGCTACACGCCTAGTCTTGACATGGTAACCATATCTCCCTACACTAACCATAGCTCCACTCAGATCCCTGCCAGAAACCTGACTGAGACTACGTTGCTGGAACATTATTTCATGCAATAAGCATTGATTGAGCACTTACTGTATACCAGTTACTCTACTTGTTAGGCAAAGACACAGGACGTCTGCGGCAGGGAAGCCATCGAACAAAGGTATTTTAGAGGGAAAAGGTATCATTGCCGCACAACATTTAAGCACGTGATGTTTTCGCTCTTGAATCTCATTCTGTTTAGCTCTATTATCTGTTTTAAATCAGAACGAGAGACATAAAACCTGGAGTGAGCGAAGGACACTATTTTTGTTTTGTTTTTTTGTTTTTTTGTTTTTTGAGACAGAGTTTCGCTCTCGTTACCCAGGCTGGAGTGCAATGGCGTGATCTCGGCTCACCACAACCTCCGCCTCCTGGGTTCAGGCAATTCTCCTGCCTCAGCCTCCTGAGTAGCTGGGATTACAGGCACGCGCCACCGTGCCCAGCTAATGTGAAGGACACTATTGAGTTTGCTCCCCCCTGGGGTTGTTTCGTGGTTAATGCTTCTCGGAGGACCCCTCTTTGCCACTGGCCACCATCTTTTTCTTTATTAGCATCTTCAATCCTGCCATGATATTTAAATAAAAAGTATATTTTTAATATCATTCTCCTTGAAAGACATTTTCTTTTCTGTGACTCCATGTATCTGCCAACCAAGAAAAGGCAGAAGATTAGATGGCCAAGCAGTAAGACAAGGCATGTATTGGGAACTTAGGAACCGCCATTTGGGAGGCACAGATTTGACTATTAATAGAAGCCAAATTACTACCTAAGAGAAGGAACGAGTGGGGATTTTTAAAGTGATGCCGAGGGTAATTACACAAGTTGTGCGGAAATACAGTGATCACCCTGGTGGAGGTGACTGGTTTAGTGCGGGAGTCCGTAGTTCTCGGGTTGCTGCTGTTCAGGAGTTGCAGCTCTGGTGAAATTCAGATGTTTTCCAGGATGTCGTGGTCCTGGCAAATTTCCGTGTTTGTTATTTTTGTCGTTTTTGCAAGGTTGCAGGTTGTGCACATAGCCCTTCTTAACACGGCTTCCCAGTATCATCGCATGCCACACCACACATGGCCACCATCGTTTTATCGGTAACTTTCTTTGGGTTATGTCACTGGGTGTCCCCTCCCCAGCCTGCCCCAAGCACAGCTGCTGACCACCTTCCCATCTATGCATTTTAATTCCCACCTACTAAATAAGAATGGCCTCTTCAGTCTTTTTCCTCAGCTTTCTTTCTTTTCATCATTCTACTGGTGACTGGATAAATATTTTCAACTCCTGAAACTAAACACGATTTTGCTAGTTTGTCTTTTGAGCTTTTGTGATAAGAGTTAGAAAAATGGAGAGAGACTACAGAAGAACAACCTTGGGTTACAGACAAAGAAGGTCCAGGGAACAGGGTGCTGTGGAGGTTTTTTGGCATTAAAAGTAATGGCAAAAAAAAAATACAATTACTTTTTCACTAACCTAATCATGACATGGGTTGTTCAACCATTGTTCAGGAATACGACACGGCCTGGAGAGTGAACCCATGGGTACACAAAGGGCAGCAAACACTGCGATCTCCTGCACTCAGTTGCTACGATAACCTCCACATGTTAGTAAACGCTGGCTCAAAAACAAATACAAAAATGGGAAAAAATTCTATTGTCAATCAACATGTGTTTCAGCAAAAATTCAATGAGAGTTTCAGTTTTTCAGAGGACTCATGTAGTAAAACATACACTGGCAGCTGAATGTCTTTATTTTCCACCAGTGAGTTTGTTATCTGAATAGAATATGAAAGGTTTCTCTAGAAAGAAGCTGCCCTAATCATTGCACTGGCAGTGACCACAAACCGACTTATTTTAAAAGTGAAATATACACCTCATAGTTCATGTCCACAAAAGCTCCGGCCATGTGATGTGTTAAGAAAAATCACTGAGATCTTTCATTTGTACTTTTTCAAGGGCTATAGGGTTGTAGACAAAAGGCTATTTTCATGTCTGTCTTCATCATTATTATTATAAGAAATTAATATCATCCACCTTATCTAGGAATGCTTCAAAGGTCTTGACCTGACCCAAACCGTGAGCCCCAAACTGAACTGAATCACATTAATTTTCAAAACCATCAGCTGAAACTGAAACCACATAGTAATTATAGCTGAAATGTATACTGAAACAACGTCTTCTGAGAACCTGACTTGGCCTGATATATTTCCAAAGGTAATTAAGGTATGTAAAAATGTCTCTGACCAACCGGCCATTGGAGCTTTATTTGTAATACGAGTCAAAGCACATGCGGTGTGACCAAAATAATTAAAGAAGAGAAAAACCACCCTAGACCTTGAAATGATGGAGCGATCAATTTTCAGACTGTGTTGCTGGCGGGGACAGGGGAGGGAAGAATGTCTGAGGTCTAGGCGATCTGCATTTGATCTTCAGGGTGGGTAAGGGGTTCATTCAAGAACCGGTCCTTTGAGGGGTCAGCCTGAGGGACAGGGAGAGCTGACGGGAGTGAAACGGAGCAGGGACCTGGACTGGGCAAGGAGAAAACTATGACTATAGTGCGGAAGGTCTCCTGGGGAGCTCAGCAAACAGATTTAAACATTTCCTAAAACCGATGAAAATAACTACGCCAGAATGCCAGGTCCTAAGTGATCCCTTGTGCTGACTTCAAATAATTCAAAATGGAACTAGAAACTTTATTTGAATCACTCCCCTTTGGAACATTGCTTTTAGTTTGGAGTTTAAAGAGGTCCGTTGTTCAGGTTAGAGGTCTGGGAAAGAAAAAAGGTTGCCTCCTGTTTCCTGTACCAGGATCCAGGGGCTCCTCATACTCCATGTTCAGTATCTGTGCCTCCTTTGTGCCGCTCAGTAGACTGGGGGCTTTAGAGCACTGTGGCCAGGCAATTTAAGCTTCTCCAGGCCAGCACAGAATAAACACATGCAGGTGAGCATTCTCAGTCTGCATACAAAATCAGAAGTGTTCCAACATCAAAAACTTCTTGACCACTAATGTGACACTGCAAGTGGACAATTCCACGCATCGGGGCTTAATGCTAACTTTGCTTCATTGCATACAATTACTTAAAGTCTTTTATAAAATTACCTTCAAGGGGAGTATAAAAGGTGCATATGAAACAAATACATTTTATGTGAACTTGGATTCCATCCTCAAGATATCTCATTATGTATATGCAAATATTCAAAAATCAAAACAATGCAAAAACCCTTCTCTGGTTTCAAGCATTCTGGATAAAGGATACTTAACTTGTAATAGTTAATAAATGACTAAATGAATGCATAAGTGAACAAAATCTTGTGAATTTTCAGAAAAGGAGAGTTATGCGGGGATTGGCAGGAGTCTTTTTTATCCCATTGTGAGAGCTGGGCCCAGAGAGACTCTCATCTCACCCTGCTTTAGTGATGATGGCTGTGGTGGGGAAGGCGCCATGGCTGTGGGCCTGTGTCGGCCGCTGTCTGGCTCAGGAGATAAATGATGAATGCTACCAGGGAGGCTGAGATTGGATGCTAACACACACACGGCCACTGCTCCACAGAGTCTCCACCCAATTGTGACAGGGATAGGATGAGAATCAGTGCCACGCTTTTCTTTATGTTTTTAGTACAGATTTTTAAATTCTCGAATAAAAGGCTAGAAATAAAAAACAGAAAGAAATCAGAATACAAAGCAAAATAAGCAACCAACCAAACATCTTAAATCTGAGCTGGAACAAGGGTGGGTTTCAGCCAATCAGTCTGGAGGTGTGTTCCTGGTCCCGTGGTACCTCACCCAGCCAAAGAGCTTGACACACGCAGCAGCTCGAGATGGGCATATGCTCTGCTATTCTGCAGAGGAGCAGCGAGCCTTCCACAGATGTGGAATTCACAGTCTTCACTTCCCATGGAGAACCTCTGAGCCTAGAAAAGGTTTGAAATCACCTCTTTAAAGTTATAAGGAAACAATATAATTTTGACATATATTGTCTAAAACTGCAAAAGATGGTAATAATTTAATAACGTGATATTGTGCATACAGACCCATAACCCACCCAGGTTATTTTGATATTAGTTTGTGCAGTTAAAAAAGAATGAAACGTTTTGGATAATTGAAATTTGCAAGGACCGTGGTAGATTAGTAAAAATGAATAACAATAGATTGCTTCAATTTCTTTTCATTTCTAATTCATAGCAGGAAATGAGAGAGCACATTAGGTCAATGGTTATGAACTAATTAAGAGGCAAACTAAAAGCAATTCCATTTTGAAATAGGTTGTGCAAAGAATATGGAATACCCAAGGTATCTGCAAATTTGCAGGCTTACAGCACTGGGTCTAAGATAACCTGGGCTTCTACCTTAGTTCTTGCACTTATTAGTCATGTGACATTGAGCAATTTACTTAAACTCCTTGGCTCTTGGTTTGCTCATCTACGGCATCTATATAGCAATAAATACCTCAGAGGTTCCTGTTAAAATGTTACTGAGTAGCCTGTCAGAATATCTTGTGCAGTGCTGATCAGATGGTCTGTATTTAGCATTTTTTATCTGCATCTGACTTCAGATTAGAGAAGCCAGAAAGAAAAACATCTCACCCGACAAAGAAAATTAAAATCAGCTGGCTGGGACCTTACCCCCCACATGCTAGGAATTTCTTGCTTTGCCACATTAATTTCTTCATTAAATATTCATGGGCATTGTTTGTCCTTCTGCATCTGCCCTGGAGCCCTAGAGAAAAAGTGCGTTCTGTGTCCCTTGAAAGGGTACCCTGAGCCTGGATGCCGGTGGTGGTAATGGCCACACAGGCAAAGGCTGGAAAGATGAGGGTGGCTGCATGTGAGCAGGTCACTTCCAGGGCAGCACTCAGCTTTCCGAGCCAAGAAGCCGATGCCAAGACGGCTGCTGTCCACTGCCCAGAACGCAAAACTGCATTTTCCTCCCTACTCTCTCCCAAAGGGAACACTGTGGCTTGCTTCTATTTTAGTAAAGGGTGCATTTCGCCCTGTGGAGCCCCCACCTCTGAGAGCACAGGAAGTGGGATCCTGGGGACTCTTCCTGAAGCCCACTCTTGGGTGAGTCATTAGCAGTGATGAGAGCCCCATCTAGCACTAAGAATAGCAACTGCTTACAAAAATGCCTCATGGGCTTACCCTGTCTTCACAAGCACAACTTCATCGATGCATAAATCATTTGTATCTGCAGAAGGTAAAGTCAGCAGGCTGGAATATATATATATATATATATATATATATATATATATATTTAATTTTCCTTATGCTAAGTGTAGTGGATTTCCCTAAGAGCTGATGTGGGAAGGAAACCTAGCGGAGAGCTCCTGAGTGGTGACTCTGCAACACGCGTTTGCATTTCCATTGCCTAACTAAATACCTGTGCTAATTTGTATCGTATAATCTTTTACATACCAATAAATGATAATTATTTTCTTACTGCAACGACCCTTCGCGGTTATTGCGTGGTTCTTGGTGCCCGTTGTACAGATGGGCAAACTGATGCTGAACTCATTTAAGGGACCCTGAGGGTCACATGGCTAGGAGATAAAGCAGTTTGGGGTAGTGAGCTCAACTCCAGGGACTATTCACTGTACTTTTTCTCAAAGAGGCAGAACAACAGTTTCATCGGAAGTATTAATCACTGATTACTTATGATTAAGAGGGCTGTTTCGTTTAAGTTAGAGTATTATTTTTTCTTCAAAGAAGGACAGGTTTTTTCCATTTTTCAGGGACAAGACAAATGCAGCTTAGAAAAAGATGTATGGGGCAGAGAACCTCCTGTGTGTCCAAAGCAACTGCTTTGCACAAGATTTCTTATTTAATAGTATACTTTTAACAGCTCTGTTTGGTAGGTCTTAGTCTGTTTGGACTGCTATAACAAAAAACCCACTGACTAGGTAGCTTAGAAACATCAAAAATTTACTTCTCACAGTTCTGGGGGTTGGGAAGTCCAAGATCCAGGCACCAGCAGATGCGGCGTCTAGTGAGAGTCTGCTCCGCGTTGATGAGAACTTCTCCCTGCAGCCTCCCTTACACGGGGAAAGGGGCAAACAAGCTCTCTTGGGCCTCTTTTATAAGGGAAGCTTACAAAATTGAGGTTTGCCTCCCTCTGATTATCCAGGGATTCTCTACAAGTAGGAACCTAGACGGTAGAACCTTCCTTCTCATTCAGCCTTCTGGAATTTCTCCTGTTAACCTTCCAAAAAACTACCACATAAAGTCAATCACCAGCATAGTTGCAGAAATATTTGAATGAAGAAGAAACCAGAAATACAATAAGGCTGTCAACAGCTGCACTACTTGGTCCCACAGTCACTGTTGGTGGGAATGTGATGTGGAGCAGCCACCGTGGAAGGGTCTGATGTCCCCTCAAGAAGGTAAACATTGAACAGGTCCCAGCAATTCTGCCTCTAGTTGTGTAGGCAAAAGAATTGAAAACAGGTATTCCAACAGAAATGTGTACAAGAATGACCTTGACAGCTCCATTCATAATAGCCAGAAGGTGGAAACACCCTAAATGTCTGTCCATGTATGTATGGGTAAACAAAATGTAGAATGTTCGTAAAATGAAATATTATTTGGCCATAAAAACAAATGAGGTACTGACATATGCTATGGTGTGGATGAACCTGGAAAACGTTATGCCAAGGGAAAGAAGCAGACACAGAAGGCCGTGTATCATCTGATTTCATTTACAGTTGACCCTTGCACAATACAGGTTAGAACTGCGTTGCTCCACTTACGGGTGTGTTTTCTTGTCTCTGCTGCACCTGAGACAGGAAGTGTCACAGCTCCTCCTCCTTCTCCTCCTGTTCCTCCTCCTCCTGTTCCTCTTTCTCCTCAGCCTACTCAATGTGAAGACACTGAGGTTGAAGAACTCTGTGATGATCCAGTTTTACTTAATGAAGAGTAAATATATTTTCTGATCTTTGTGATTTTCCTGACCACATTGTTCTTTTCTCTAGTTTATTGTAAGAATACCATATGTAATACATACAACATGCAGAGTAGGTGCTGATTGACTTTGTGATCTGTAAGGCTTCTGGTCAAAATTGGTTACTAGGAATCAAGTTTTGGGGGGAGTCAAAAGTTATATGCAGATTTCTAATTGTAAAAAGGTTCAGGGAGTTGGCACCCCTAACCCCTACACTGCTAGAGGGTGAATTATAAATGAAATATCCAGACAAATTCATAGAGAAAGAAAAAAATTATTGATTACCAGGGACAATTGGAGAGGGTGACTGCTTTGTGGGTACGGGGATTTTTTATTTTTTTTTGAAGAGCAATTTATTAGAGAGAGAGGACAGTTCCCACACTGTTGTGGGAGGGGAACCCAGAGTGGGCAATCCCACAGGGATTGTTTTGAAGCTGACTGAAATGTGATGGAGTTCAATAGTGCCGATGGCCGCACACTGTTCTGGATGTATCAAATGCCACTGAATTGCACACTGCTGAAATGGTACATTTTTTATTTTGCATATTTTGTCATAATAGTAAAACTAGTCTTAAGGGCTTTTCCTATTTGAATCTAGCTTTGTTAGTCAACAAACTAACCATATTGATGTTAAATAAAGGTAACTAATTAACTTTCTTTATTTTGATTATTCTATTCCAGTGCTGTCTTCCATGATCTGACGAAATTGAAATGTGCACACTTCAAACATAGGCATGCGACTTCTTATCTTCATCCCTGCCTTCCTCTGCCGGGGTAGTACTGATCCACACATTCATGTTTCAAGATACAACTCATATCACCAACTCATGAAATATTTTTTTAGCTGCTGAGTGTAGACTTTTGTGCACCTCCTATGGCTGGACAACTTTTAATCCAATCCATGATACTGTTAAGGTACCATGGTTGTGTAACAAACCACCCCCTAACTTAGTGGCTTAAACCAATGATAATATTGCTTTCATTCACAAATCTGCAGTTGGGGCAGGGTTTGGTGAGGCTAGCTCCTTTCTGCTCCACGTAGCCTCAGACAGGGCAGCTTGAAGGCTGGAGTCATGAGGAAGCTCATCCACTCACATTTCTGGTGGCTCATGGGTCCGTTGGCTATAGCCTCAGCCTGGGCTGTCAGCTGGGATGTCTACACACGGCCTCGCCACATGGCCTAACTGTCTCACAGTTTCCTTGTTGAGTTCCATTGTAGGTTCCAAAATAGAGAAAGCCAAGCAGAGTCATACTTTTACGTCTAATCTCAGGAGTCACACGGCTCCGCTTCTGCCACATCCCATTAGAAGTGAGTCATTCAAGTCAATTCAAGATGAGCTACTTTTCGTGGGAGGATTGTCACGGAACTGTTGGGCACATGTTAAAATCATCACAAATTCTCCCTGATCTCAGACAGGTGGACCCGCCCTGGACTTCCACAGTCCTTCTTGCTTCTACGATAATGTTCTTCCTTATCTCTCAGCAAATGCCTGTCTTCGTTCCTAGACTGTTAGCTGCATGAGACTGTATCAACTTCGCTCAGTATCAAATCAGTAGGTAGCGCTGTGTCTAAATGTTTATTGCATGAATAAATATTTTATTGCACACAGTTGTTTACTAGATGTTCTCAGCCTATGGTTGCCTGAAGACGGGAACTGTGTCTTAGACAGCTCCATCTCCCCAGCACAGGCATGGTGACATCCAGCACAAAGAAGGAGAACATTTCCTTGTGAAATAAATTAATAAATGCCTAGATGGATAATTGGAGTTGTTAGCTGAGAATATATGTATACTTGTGTGTGGGTGGAAGGCTGTGCATCAGATAACCCCAATAAGGACAGAAATGTAATTTTCTTACATCTCTACATTCAGGACGAGGAAAGCATTTAAAATGGAAAAAGTAGCCAGAATATTCATTCAATTTACTAATTAAATGAATAAATAAATGAATCTGTAATTTACTCTTTCCTACAGAAATTAATTAAGACATGTAAGTTGTCAGATGACTGCAGCTCATGTGATGTTTAATGACTTTTATTGTGACTTCGCATTTCTTTCAATGACCACTTTGTTTACTATGAATTCTGACCTAGTAATCGTACTGACATAGTAATTCTCAAGTGGGATTGATTTTGACACCCAAGAGATGTTGAGCAATGGCTGGGGAGGTTTCTGGTTGGCTCAACTAAGAGGATGTTACTGGCATCTAGTGGGTAGAAGCCAGGGATGCTGCTAAAAATCCTATGAGCACAGGTCAGTCCCCCTGCAAAGAAGAATGACCTACTCACAAGTTTCAGTTTGTGCAAAGGTCAGGAATGGATTAAAATTCAAGGCAACAAAGATGACTAAGACACTGCTTTTGTCACTAAGAGACAAGAGAAATAGGTAAATAAATAGTTATAACAGGGTGACCTAAATGTAATAATTGAAATGTGTAGAACAAATAGGGATGGAATAGGGTAGGAGTCATGAACTGACCTCGACTTAACAGAAATAGTTCTGTAGAAAGGGGAACAGCTTGTGCAAGATCATATAAAAAATATAGACTGAAATATGTACATCTAATAATGCCAAGAACTAGTAGGAACTCATTAGAAAGAAATGGCAATGCCCTTTACCAGGAAACAAAGACCTAAGACGCACACTAAGGCCTCCTTCCGTGTCTGTAAAGGATGTTCAGCACTGCAGCCATCTTATTAACATTCCAATGTACATTTTTGATTTAATGAATGACAGATAAATTCAAGGAGAAAAGGAGGCTTAAATTCTTTTTAATTTTAAAATAGAAAACCTCCAAGGCTGGCTGTGAATCCTCACTTTTCTTGGGAGGGGAGTATACTTCTGTCATCTACATATTCTCTTCCCCTCACCAGTCTATTGTCTCTCAGCTCTAAATCCACCCTTCTCACCCTGCTTCGAAAGCTTGGAGCTGGGCCCTGTAAACATTTCCTCTCTGTTACCCGGTAGAGTGTTAGGCTTTCTCAGTAGAGAACAGTGGTGTGATTCTGAAAGCGGCTGATAAAAGAGAGACGTTTTCCTTTTAGATTTGCATCCGGAATTGTTGCTGCTCTACTATTACTACTCAGTGTGGGGAATACATAATGTACATATTGATACATATTTTGAAGACTGATACTTCATATAAAACTTTTTATAATGTCCACACAGCAATAAAAAGCTGGGGTCAGGCACTGTGGCTCACACCTGTCATCCTAGCACTTTGGGAGGTCGAAATGGAAGAATCTCTTGAGCCCTGGAGATTGAGACCAGCCCAGGTGGTAAAAGAAGATCTTGTTTCTGAAAAAGAAAAATGTAAAAGTTAGCCAGGTGCAATGGTGTCTCTAATCCCAGCTACTTGGGAGGTTGAGGTGAGAAGATTGTTTAAGCTGGGAAATTGAGGCTGCAGTGAGCCATGACTGCAACACCACACTGCACTGAGTGAGACCCTTCCAAAAAAAAAAAAAGTTGGAGGTGAGGGATTGAAGATAAAAAGACCAATCTTGGCCAGGCACGGTGGCTCAAGCCTGTAATCCCAGCACTTTGGGAGGCTGAGGTGGGTGGATCACGAGGTCAAGAGATCAGGGCCATCCTGGTCAACATGGTGAAACCCCGTCTCTACTAAAGATACAAAAAATTAGCTGGGCATGGTGGCACGTGCCTGTAATCCCAGCTACTCAGGAGGCTGAGGCAGGAGAACTGCCTGAACCCAGGAGGCGGAGGTTGTGGTGAGCCGAGATCGCGCCATTGCACTCCAGCCTGGGTAACAAGAGCGAAACTCCATCTCAAAAAAAAAAAAGACCAATCTCTCTTGCCCTCCTATAAAGTCGTTTTCAGTTTCTACTTTCTGTTTGAAGTCCCCATTTATTTTATTTTTAGTTCCAAAGGTTTTCGGGGAACAGGTGACGTTTGGTAACATAAGTAAGTTCTTCAGCGGTGATCTGGGAGATTTTGCCCATCACCTGAGCAGAATCCACTGGAATCCCCCTTTAGCTTGGGTGATTCATGTAATGAATTACTTTGAGTTAGACTTTCTGGTTCCTGGATTCAACAGTAACTGCATCTATAGTTTTGGGCAAAGCATACACATTTTATGAATTGGAATCACCTTGTTTTATAATTGAGAGTATTTTAAATTGTTATTGAAAGGGAGTACACTTTATATAGTGCCCCGAACCATGTAAATAATATAGGAAAAAAAATGCTCTAAGGAGTACTCTGACATACAATAAGTGTTCAATAATTTTTCCCCCTAAGGCAAGAATTTGTCTTCTATCACAGAGACGTGGACTTATCTTTGCCAGTATTAGCAGGACCTGTTACATTAAGACAATGACTCCTACACGTATACAATAAGGGATTTGCCTACCCAGTCCCAGTGAGCTAGTAAGTTAGTAAGATAGTGGTGGTAGAATTAGGACCATTGAATAGAGTAATAATAAGAGTCAACATTTATTGTGCAAACCACGGATGAAGCAGTGTTCCAGCTGGATTTGCATATATTAGCTCATGTAACGGCAAACATTCTTCCATCTTGTAATCGGGGACACCGAGGCTTCTACTGTTTAGACAATTTGTCCACGTCACAGAGCTAGGAAGGGGCTGTGAGGATCAGAAGTCTGTGAGTCTTCAGTGATTCTAACGGCTGTGTTCTATTGGCCCTAAAAACCACAGGTATATGTGTTTTGGCTTGAAAAACAGATGAGAATGGCGATGCTGGGAGGGACTTTGGCAATCAGCCAGCCTAACTGCTTGAAAGCCGCAGGAGACACTGAAGTCTAGGCGCCAAGTCACTTGCACAAAGCTTTCGAGTTAATTTACGGCTATTTCTGGAACTGGAACCCAGATCTCCTTAGTCCAGTTCTATGCTCTTATGTGTCTCTTGTATGCTTCCTCAACATAATTAATATTCCAATGTGCATTATTAATTTCCAACATGGTTGCTTTTTTTTTTTTTTTAAGTATCCATGTCTCCCCAGTCAACTAAATCCTTTCCACATGGAGTCTTAAAGTCATATAAATTAAATGAGAACAACGCGTTATACAGGAATGAGGGAATAGTTGCTGGATTTTTTTTTAATAAAATGACTTAAATCGATAGGTATTTATAGAAAAACACCAGAATCTTTATAAATATCTTCATGCTTAAATATATTTTAATTGGCTGCAATAATAAGAGAAAGACTTAAACAGAAGCCTTGGGATTAATGATTACTTTGCTAAAAATGATGAATTCTTGGCTGGCATGTTTGCAAGGGGAGGGCTGTGAGTCCCTGAATGGCTGGGAACCTGGCAGAGAGGAGCCCGGGGTGGCGGAAGAGGGGCATCACAGACAGATGCATCCTAGAGAGACTGGAGGACTCCGAGCTTGGGGAAGAGATAGTTAAAGCTTCCCCGTGAGAGCCAGTTATATCACGCAGCGCCAGTGCCAGGTCAGCAGTCTGGCTGGAGCTGGACCGGCTGGTGGCGCCAAGCAATGCCAGGAACCCCTGGCAGCCCTGCAGAGGGTTCTCAAATCCAGATTTCATTCTGCAGCCCGGGCAGTGCTCTGACGACTGCCTCACTGAAGGAAGCTAAAAGCTGTGCTGATGTCTCCCAGACGAGCCTCGTTGGAAGCACAGAACCTCCCGGCTCGGAGCCGCTGACACCGTGACAAAGGGAGCCCTGCTCAGGTGAGACAAGGCTCGGGGGTTCGGAGGCTGGTCGTCTGGTACAGGTCTCTGCCGTGTGCATGAGAAAAAGTCTGTCTGCCAGGCTGGACGCTGCTATCAGACAGACTGATTTGCTGAGTCTTCCGGCATTTCCCTAATTCCTTTCTGAAAAGCAAGAGCTAGACTATCATGCCCCCGGGTCATAAAGCCCCCTCTAAAATCAGGGAGTGGCTTTAGAGAGGCTCCAGCCAAGGAGAAATCTAGCTCCGACTCTCAGATGTGTCAGCCTCTGCCCCGAGTCCATTCAGCAGGTCCCCAGAGGTGATTCCTTTCCGTGTCTGTGAACTCATCATGGAATGTCGGCAATGGAATATTCCAGGGCATGTGGAGTGCTGGGTTCTAGTTCAGAACCTGTCCCAGTGGCACCAGGAAGCCCTGTGGTGTCAGGCAAATCGCATAACCTCTTGGTGTTTCTGTTCTCCATTGAAAATGATGGTTATGTGTTTGCCATGACAGATTTGAGCTCCTTAGGGGTAGAACTGTGCCCTATTTACCTTTGTTTGCTGAGTTGATAGCACAAGGCCTGGTGCTCAACACACCTAAAAATTACCCAAGGGCTGGGTGCTTTGGAGCAGAAAAGGTGATGACAAGATGCAGGTGTAAACTTGGAAAAGCCATGAGATGCAGGTTAGTCTCGGTGACGTCAGCCAGCCATTCAGAGCCCCGTCAAATGACTACAGCCATGTTTTTTGTTGTGTGATGACATCAGTGCAGCTGTGAGCCACTCTTAGGCTCACGGTGGGCACTGCAGCAGGTGCCAGCACTGGTGGCCTTAGCTTTGTGTATGTCAGACCCCAGTGACAGGTCTGAGGGTTGGAGAGGAGACAGGGAGTGATCTCAGGCTCTGGGATGAAGGCATATTTGGAACAGTATGGCCAGAGCCCTGTCTTGATGACCAAATGGCTCTGATGACTCTGAGCCATGCCCCAATCAGAGTCCACCTCGAGGATGACTGATTCACTGGGCTGGGGCTGGGGTTAGGGGGCAACACAGCCCTCTCAGTCAGGGGGATGTTCTTGTTTCAGTACCAAACAGACACATCCAGAAGGCAAATAGGATCATGTGTGCTCGCTTCCTGATTAAATCTCCCTTGCCTCCCTCACTGCCTTGGGGGTCCTGTTCGAGCTTCCTCCTTTGCCTGACTCCGTTGACATTGGAGAATGTGATCCCCATTCTCTTGCTAGTATATTCGCTTCTGGCCGTATTTCGGGAGATGCCCTGCTTCATTGCTTCCATGACAACTATTGCTTGTGTTTTCCTGCTTGCTTCCCAATATTTCTCATCTGCGTGCCTCTGCTTAAGCTGGGTACTCCCTCCAGTGACCTGAGTGACTTGTATTCTTTAAGACTAAGCTCAGCTGCAGCTTCCTCCAAAATGCCTCCTCCTGCTCTTCAAGGTGTTTCTCTCCTTGCCCTGAAAAACACTCAGCATTGTGTCTATTACGTAAGATTGTATTGCCATTATCTACACCTGCCACACCCACCTGTGTTCTTTGAGGGCAGGTGGTTTCACACTCTGAGAGATCCAGAGTCCAGCACAATGCCAAGCCCACAGAAGGGAGAACTTGTCCACCTGTGGGAAAGAAGAAAGAACTTCTTCCACTTCCTGGGAAGATAACAGGAGACTTCCAAGCATTTCCTGGTCCTCAGGAAGACTGTGGCTCTGGTTGGCAACAACAACCAGGAGAAAGCAGAAGCCCAGAGCCCAGACACCAGCACTGGGGGTCTCAGGGAGGCTGCAGCTCCAGGGCTGGGGAACACGGGAGCTCTGGGCTCACTGCAGGGAGAGAGACTCTTACAGGTGAAGGCACCCGGCTCCTCCAGGGTGCATAGCACTAGCCTTGCTTTGCGCTATGCTGGATGGGTGGAGGCTGAACCCTGGACTCACAATGGAAGTAAGATTGAATGGTGGGGTAGACAGTGAGGTAAAGCAATGAGAATGAGATGCATTGTCAAATTATTTACTCCAGCATTGATTTGCTCCCAGGTGACAGTATGTTGTCTTAGGACTTGGGTAATTTGCACATTTTTTTAAGGGCCTGACTTTATCCAGAATGGAAGTCTGAGGCCCTCTGGTGTAGACAGTGAGGAGACCATCCCTGTGGAGCCTGGGTGCATCCAGGCAGTGTTTCTAATTAGCCATTCGGCAGGTCAAAGAGGACCAGAGCCTCCACGGTTCTTCCTGTTGGACGCGACCATTCTTTGAGCAGAGATTGCAGCAAAGGCAAAGCAGGAACAGCACCGACACCGGGCCGAGCCCACGAGGCAGTCTGGGTGATGAGCAACACCCCACACTGGTTTAGGCACGAGAGGAAACGCATTGAGTCAGGTGACCAGGAAGATCAAACTCACCTTTGGCCCAGCTGGACCCATGGGCTGAATAAAGTCAACAAACCTAAGTTTGTTTTTGTTCATTTTTTCTCTACTTTTCAAGTTTGCTTTTTTTTTTTTCTGAATTTACTTCCTGACAAGCAAACACTCCCCATGAATTGTCGAAGAGAACTCTGCCAGTTCTCATTAGTGACTCCAGCGATGAAAAGAATCCTTTCCCTAGAGTTCATGCACAATCCCTGGGTCCTTCGTTTGGCCCTGTTTGGCTCCAAGCACATCCCAAGTGCAGCCCCGGCGTCAGGGGATGCAGTGCTCTGAGGGGCCCAGCCTGGGTCAGTCCCTTCCCTGGCCCTGCCCCACCCCCATATGAGAAGCGCCTGCCGTAAAGCTGCAACCCAAACTGGCAGAGCAAGAGGGAAACTTAGAAATGATCTCGGTGACTTCCCTCATTTTAGGTTATTAATGTGAGAAAGGGGCAATGCTGTGAACATTTTATATACTTACTGGTTACAATTTAAAGAATTAAAAGAAGGGAAAGATGAAAATAAAAACCCCACATAATCCCCTAAAATGTACATGTACTTCAAATTATTTGATATTTTCCCAAATACTTTTACAGTTATCTACATCATTTGAAATATGTCAATATTGTGGAGCCCTGAATGTACCTTAATCATTTTTCCTTCTCATTTATTTTTTAAAAAAATCATTATATATATATATATTTTAATTTTTTATTGCATTTTAGGTTTTGGGGTACATGTGCAGAACATGCAAGACAGTTGCATAGGTATACACATGGCAGTGTGTTTTGCTTCCTTTCTCCCCTTCACCCACATCTGGCATTTCTCCCCAGTCTATCCCTCCCCAGCTCCCCCCCACCACTGACCCTCCCCTTTTCCCCCCAATAGACCCCAGTGTTTAGTACTCCCCTCCCTGTGTCCATATGTTCTCATTTTTCATCACCCGCCTGTGAGTGAGAATATGCGGTATTTCATTTTCTGTTCTTGTGTCAGTTTGCTGAGAATGATGTTCTCCAGATTCATCCATGTCCCTACAAATGACATGAACTCATCATTTCTGATTGCTGCATAATATTCCATGGTGTATATGTGCCACATTTTCCCAATCCAGTCTATCATCAATGGGCATTTGGGTTGGTTCCAGGACTTTGCTATTGTAAACAGTGCTGCAAATGAACATTCGTGTACATGTGTCCTTATAGTAGAACGATTTACAGTCCTTTGGATATATACTGAGTAATGTGATTGCTGGGTCAAATGGAATTTCTATTTCTAAGGCCTTGAGGAATCGCCGCACTGTCTTCCACAGTGGTGGAACTAATTTACACTCCCACCAACAGTATAGAAGTGTTCCTTTTTCTCCACATCCTCTCCAGCATCTGTTGTCTCCAGATTTTTTAATGATCACCATTCTAACTGGCGTGAGATGGTATCTCAATGTGGTTTTGATTTGCATCTCTCTAATGACCAGTGATGATGAGCATTTTTTCATATGATTGTTGGCCTCATATATGTCTTCTTTTGTAAAGTGTCTGTTCATATCCTTTGCCCATTTTGAATGGGCTTGTTTGTTTTTTCCTGTAAATCTGTTTGAGTTCTTTGTAAATTCTGGATATCAGCCCTTTGTCAGATGGGTAAACTGCAAAAATTTTTTCCCATTCTGTTGGTTGCCGATTCACTCTAGTGACTGTTTCTTTTGCCGTGCAGAAGCTGTGGAGTTTGATTAGGTCCCATTTGTCTATTTTGGCTTTCATTGCCAATGCTTTTGGTGTTTTGTTCATGAAGTCCTTACCTACTCCTATGTCCTGTATGGTTTTGCCTAGATTTTCTTCTAGGGTTTTTATGGTGCCAGGTCTTATGTTTAAGTCTTTAATCCATCTGAAGTTAATTTTAGTGTAAGGTGTCAGGAAGGGGTCCAGTTTCTCCTTTCTGCACATGGCTAGCCAGTTTTCCCAACACCATTTATTAAACAGGGAATCCTTTCCCCATTGCTTGTTTTTGTCAGGTTTATCAAAGACTGTATGGCTGTAGATATGTTGTGTTGCCTCCGATGCCTCTGTTTTGTTCCATTGGTCTATAACTCTGTTTTGGTACCAGTACCATGCTGTTTTGATTACTGTAGCCTTGTAGTATAGTTTGAAATCCAGTAGTGTGATGTCCCCCGCTGTGTTCTTTTTGCTTAGAATTGACTTGGCTATGCGGGCTCTCTTTTGGTTCCATATGAAGTTCATGGTGGTTTTTTCCAGTTCTGTGAAGAAAGTCGATGGTAGCTTGATGGGGATAGTGTTGATTCTGTAAATTACTTTGGGCAGTATAGCCATTTTCACGATATTAATTCTTCCTAACCATGAACATGGAATGTTTCTCCATCTGTTTGTGTCCTCTCTTATTTCATTGAGCAGTGGTTTGTAGTTTTCCTTGAAGAGGTCCCTTACGTTCCTTGTGAGTTGTATTCCTAGGTATTTTATTCTTTTTGTAGCAATTGTGAATGGCAGTTCGTTCTTGATTTGGCTTTCTTTAAGTCTGTTATTGGTGTAGAGGAATGCTTGTGATTTTTGCACATTGATTTTATATCCTGAGACTTGGCTGAAGTTGCTTATCAGTTTCAGGAGTTTTTGTGCTGAGGCGATGGGGTCTTCTAGGTATACTATCATGTCGTCTGCAAATAGAGACAATTTGGCTTCCACCTTTCCTTTTTGAATACCCTTTATTTCTTTTTCTTGCCTGATTGCTCTGGCTAGAACTTCCAGTACTATATTGAATAGGAGTGGTGACAGAGGGCATCCTTGTCTAGTGCCGGATTTCAAAGGGAATGCTTCTAGCTTTTGCCCATTCAGTATGATATTGGCTGTTGGTTTGTCATAAATAGCTTTTATTACTTTGAGATACGTTCCATCGATACTGAGTTTATTGAGGGTTCTTAGCATAAAGGTCTGTTGAATTTTGTCAAAGGCATTCTCTGCGTCAATTGAAGTAATTATGTGGTTTTTGTTTTTGGTTCTGTTTATGTGGTGAATTACATTTATAGACTTGCATATGTTGAACCAGCCTTGCATCCCCGGGATAAATCCTACTTGATCATGATGGATAAGTTTTTTGATTTGCTGTTGCAATTGGTTTGCCAATATTTTATTGAAGATTTTTGCATCTATGTTCATCATGGATATTGGCCTGAAGTTTTCTTTTCTTGTTGGGTCTTTGCCGGGTTTTGGTATCAGGATGATGTTGGTCTCATAAAATGATTTGGGAAGGATTCCCTCTTTTTGGATTATTTGGAATAGTTTCAGAAGGGATGGTACCAGCTCCTCTTTGTGTGTCTGGTAGATTTCGGCTGTGAACCCATCTGGACCTGGGCTTTTTTTGTGTGGTAGGCTCTTAATTGCTGCCTTGACTTCTGACCTTGTTATTGGTCTATTCATAGTTTCAGCTTCCTCCTGGTTTCGGCTTGGGAGGACACAGGAGTCCAGGAATTTATCCATTTCTTCCAGGTTTACTAGTTTATGTGCATAGAGTTGTTTGTAATATTCTCTGATGATGGTTTGAATTTCTGTGGAATCTGTGGTGATTTTCCCTCTATCATTTTTTATTGCATCTATTTGGTTGTTCTCTTTTCTTTTTTATCAATCTGGATAGTGGTTTGTCTATTTTGTTGATCTTTTCAAAAAACCAGCTCTTGGATTTATTTATTTTTGAAGGTTTTTCGTGCCTCTATCTCCTTCAGTTCTGCTCTGATCTTAGTTATTTCTTGTCTTCTGCTAGGTTTTGAGTTTTTTTGATCTTGCTCCTGTAGCTCTTTCAATTTTGATGATAGGGTGTCAATTTTGGATCTCTCTGCTCTTCTTATGTGGGCACTTATTGCTATATATTTTCCTCTAGAGACTGCTTTAAATGTGTCCCAGAGATTCTGGCATGTTGTGTCTTCGTTCTCATTGGTTTCGAAGAACTTTATTTCTGCCTTCATTTCATTGTTTATCCAGTCAACATTCAAGAGCCAGTTGTTCAGTTTCCATGAAGTTGTGTGGTTCTGGGTTGGTTTCTGAATTCTGAGTTCTAACTTGATTGCACTATGATCTGAGAGACTGTTTGTTATGATTTCAGTTGTTTTGCATTTGCTGAGCAGTGCTTTACTGCCAATTATGTGGTCAGTTTTAGAGTAGGTGTGATGTGGTGCTGAGAAGAATGTGTATTCTGTGTATTTGGGGTGGAGAGTTCTGTAAATGTCTATCAGGTTTGCTTGTTCCAGGTCTGAGTTCAAGACCTGGATATCCTTGTTGATTTTCTGTCTGGTTGATCTGTCTAGTATTGACAGTGGAGTGTTAAAATCTCCCACTATTATTGTGTGGGAGTCTAAGTCTCTTTGTAAGTCATTAAGAACTTGCCTTATGTATCTGGGTGCTCCTGTATTGGGTTCATATATGTTTAGGATTGTTAGCTCTTCTTGTTGCATCGATCCTTTTACCATTATGTAATAGCCTTCTTTGTCTCTTTTGATCTTTGTTGCTTTAAAGTCTATTTTATCAGAGATGAGAATTGCAACTCCTGCTTTTTTTTGCTCTCCATTTGCTTGGTAAATCTTCCTCCATCCCTTTATTTTGAGCCTTTGTGTATCCTTGCATGTGAGATGGGTTTCCTGGATATAGCACACTGATGGGTTTTGGTTTTTTATCCAATTTACCAATTTTTGTCTTTTGATTGGTGCATTTAGTCCATTTACATTTAGGGTTAATATTGTTATGTGTGAATTTGATACTGCCATTTTGATGCTAGCTGGCTATTTTGCCTGTTAGTTGTAGATTCTTCATTATGTTGATGCTTTTTAGCATTTAGTGTGATTTTGGAATGGTTGGTACTGGTTGTTCCTTTCTATGTATAGTGCCTCTTTCAGGAGCTCTTGTAAAGCAGGCCTGGTGGTGACAAAATCTCTGAGTACTTGCTTGTTCACAAAGGATTTTATTTTTCCTTCACTTATGAAGCTCAGTTTGGCTGGTTATAAAATTCTGGGTTGAAAGTTCTTTTCCTTAAGGATGTTGAATATTGGCCCCCACTCTTTTCTGGCTTGTAGAGTTTCTGCTGAGAGATCTTCTGTGAGTCTGATGGGCTTCCCTTTGTGGGTGACCCGACCTTTCTCTCTGGCTGCCCTTAGTATTTTCTCCTTTATTTTAACCCTGGTGAATCTGATGATTATGTGCCTTGGGGTTGCTCTTCTTGCAGAATATCTTTGTGGTGTTCTCCGTATTTCCTGCATTTGAGTGTTGGCCTGCCTTGCTAGGTGGGGAAAATTTTCCTGGATAATATCCTGAAGAGTATTTTCCAGCTTGGATTCATTCTCTTCATCACATTCTGGTACACCTATCAAACGTAGGTTAGGTCTCTTCACATAGTCCCACATTTCTTGGAGACTTTGTTCATTCCTTTTTGCCCTTTTTTCTCTGATCTTGGTTTCTGGTTTTATTTCATTGAGTTGATCTTCGACTTCTGATATTCTTTCTTCTGCTTGGTCAATTCGGCTGTTGAAACTTGTGCATGCTTCGAGATGTTCTTGTCTTGTGTTTTTCAGCTCCTTCAATTCATTCATATTCCTCTCTAAGTTATCCATTCTTGTTATCATTTCCTCAAATCTTTCTTCAAATCTTTTTTCAAGGTTCTTAGTTTCTTTGCATTGATTTAAAACATGTTCTTTTAGCTCACAAAAGTTTCTCATTATCCACCTTCTGAAGTCTCATTCTGTCATTTCATCACAGTCATTCTCTTTCCAGCTTTGTTCCCTTGCTGGTGAGGAGTTTTGGTCCTTTGTAGGAGTCGCAGTGTTCTGGTTTTGGGTGTTTTCCTCCTTTTTGCGCTGGTTTCTTCCCATCTTTGTGGATTTATCCACCTGTCGTCTGAGTAGTTGCTGACTTTTCGATTGGGTCTCTGAGTGGACGCCCAGATTGTTGATAATGAAGTATTTCTGTTACTTGGTTTTCCTTCTACCAGTCTAGCCCCTTCACTGTACGACTGCTGAGGTCCAGTCCAGGCCCTGCTTGTCTGGGGTGCACCTATAGCAGCTGCGGAAAAGTGAGGGATGCTACCAGTTTCTTTTTCTGCTATCTTTGTCCCAGAATGATGCCTGCCAAATGTCAGTCTTCTGCATATAGAGGGGTCAGGGAGCTGCTTGAGGAGACAGTCTGTACTTTATAGGAGCTCAAGTGCTGATCTGTGA